GCTTGAACCTTTTGAGGCTTGTTTTTAATCTTTGTTTTGGCAAGTTGAATGTAGCCTTTACTCTAGAACTAGTTTAGCACAGTTACTAAGTGATGATTCTGATTCATTTCTACTGATTTGCCCGGGTTTCAGTGAGGTCTTTCTCCCTTTTGGTTGGAACTTGCACATCCCCCAGTTTTATGTAATCTCGGAATTTTTGAGCCTGCTTGGTCATTATTCCTTGCCTGGCTTTGTAGAGTTTCACTTTACTAATACACAGCTTTATATTGAAGAAACTGCATTATCAAGTATTTGATAGCATTTAGCCACATTGTGGCTTTTGAGAGCTTGAATTGTGGTTAGTTTGAATTTAAATATGCTGTAAGTATAAAACACACTGAATGTCAGGAACTTACTATAGAATACCTGTTTTTTATATCAATTATATCCTGAAGTGGTAATATTTTGAGCATATTGGGTTAACATGAATTATGTTAAAATTAGTTTTATCTGCTTCATTTTCCTTTAAAATGTGGTCATGTTGTTTCTTTTGGGCAGAATTGCTCTAGAAACCTCTACAGATTTCAGGAATGCTTTCTCTTGAGCTCCATCTTCTCTGCTCCTCTAATCTACAAATCCCCATTACTTCAGCCTCCCTAAATTTCAGTGTGTGTCTCTTTTATTCACTGAGTCCATCATATTCTGCTTGGCTTCCCATTCCTGCATTGCCCTCTGGACTCTGGATATGGAGTATGTAGGGGACACTTTCATTTTTTCAGGTATAACAGTGCTCAGCTGCTTGGTGAGTTTTCTGGTTGAGTTCATTGGGAGAGCATGTCTCCTGCTAAGTTACTACATCATGGCTGGTACCAAAAATCTTTTTAAGGCATGAGTAGTTTGATGCCCAGGTGTGAAAACTGACTCTCCCTTGAATTAAAAACACTGTTGCTGGTAAACCTAAGTTTTGATTACAAAATGAAATTAATATTGAGCAAATATGCACCATTTATTGTGTTTATAGACTTATTTTTGGTTATTGCCTGTTTAATTTTCCCCTTAATCTGGATTGATTTTAAAAGCTGTTTTCATATACAAACCTCTTTTCTTTCACACTGCATTATACTCAGGGCAGAGGTATCCAGTGAAATTTGGTAAGTTCAAACATAAAGCAGAAATTTTCTTCATGATTAGGTTGAGTTTTGTTTGTTTGTTTGTTTGTTTGTTTTTTATCAGGACTTGAGGAGATGCTTAGAATTTTAGGCCCTTAAGACTTGATACTGGGAATGTTAATACCATGTCAGGAGCACTTTGTTTCATTTTGCTTTCTAATTTATTGGCATTCACTGATTAAGCACATAATTAACAAGCTAGTATAGCAAGAGGAGGCATTAGGGAGCGGATTTTCTTGGGTCATTCAGGTCTTCACTTATCATCAGCAGTTGTATTAAGTGTTATCTGTTTGCTTTGTAAAATGTAGTTGAGATATTTTAAAAGAGGGGTTTGAATCAGTCATTTCATTTAACCCTTCTTGTTAATATGGAAAATTGGAAGTTGATAGTAACTTGTGTCACAGTATAAACTGTGATATTTGATATTTAACTATTATTGGAATGATAGTATCTACACTGTTTTTATTTGTTTCAGAGTACTTCTTTAAAAGACGTATCCATGTGATTTTTGTAATATTGTCTTGTGTAATTTCTAGCTCTGGTAATTATCATATAGAAACTTAAAACTTATTTTAAAAGTTATTGAGAAGTTGTCAGTGTTTATCATTTTTGTTCACAGCACTCACTCACTCACCTGTTGTCAGGGCATCTGTCATAAATAGGTATTAATATACTGAAGCTGCTCAAATGTATCAGTCCTCTGAGATTTGCTTTTCTGTCTTTTGAATCCATTGCTTTAGTATGCATTCAGTTTTTCACATATTTATCTCATTTAACAAAAGCATGAACTGGGGGCACCTGAGTTGGTTTGCCATCTGCCTTTGGCTCAGGGCTCAGGTCATGTTCTCAGAGTCCTGGGATTGAGCTCCACCAGAGTTGGGCTCCCTGCTCAGCAAGGAGTCTGCTTCGTCCTCTCCTTCTTCCTCTCCCCGTGCTCCTGCTCGCTCTCTCTCTCACAAATAAATATATAAAACCTTAAAAAAAAAAGTGAGCTGAACTGTGGTTGTGCATAACTGTTAAAAGCATGCCCGGGTTAGACAACTTTACTGACTTTGCTATGTGACCTTGGTAGGTACCTTCTTAGTATTTCAGTTTCCTTTTGAGGATAATAGTGAGATTATTGTTGGCTTGCCTTTGTTGCTGTTCCTAACTGCATATAAAGCAGTTAGGATACTGGTTAGCATATGATAAATACTGCTGTTGCAGTTGCTGTTATTGTCATCATCTCATTAGGTCTTTCTCAAATCTTAATCCCGTATGATAGTACTTACTTCCTTGCTCTCTCTCTCTCTCTCTCTCTCTTTTTTTTTTATTAAGGACTTCATATAACTGCTGTATATTACATATTCCTCATTCATTGTGTGATGTAGGCTTCCCCAACTAGAATGTAAGCTCCGTGAGATCAGTCATAGATGTAGAGATTTATCACTAGCACCTAGAAAGGTGTCTGGAGTATATTGGATACTCAGTAAATATTTTCTGAATGGACTATATTGAATTCTATTCCAAATAGTAACTAGATATTGGGGATATCAAAATGCACGAAGTTCTTTCTCTAAAAAAAAACCATAAAGTATAGAAGAGGCTCATACTTAAACAAAACTAAGTATGATTTTACTCCCTCCCCCCCAACCTCCCAGAAGTGATTGTGATGGTAAGAGTATTCCTGAGGTTGTTGTCACAGAAGGTGCCGTTAAACTGGGGAAGATTGTTTAAGAGATGGGGGAACACTGTTTCTAGCAGAGGTGAAAATTTGAGCATAATTACAGAGCTTGACGTCCAGATTACCAACAATGTAGGCTGATTAGAAATGGAGGGACTGGGTGACTCAGTTGGGTGTCTGATTTGATTTTGGCTCAGGTCATATCTCAGGGTTATGCAGTTGGCCCAGGTTTGGTTCCATGCTTGGTGTGGAGCCTGCTTAGGAGTCTCTGTCTCCCTTTCCCTTTGCTAAATCCCCCCTCCCCAACCCGCTTGCTTATATGAATGCAAGCCGCTCCCTCTCAGAAAAAAAAAAAAAAATAGGTACAGGGGGCTAGCTAGGAGGTTGGTGGGGATCACGGGATCAGATTTGGGAGGAATAGCAATTGGAGATGCAGGTTGTCTAGCCCTTGCCTGGACAAAAGCAATGAGATTTGGAGATTTAATATATGAAATTTAATGATAACTGGATATAGCACTAACATTTTAGTTTTGGTTTTATTTTGAAGGTAAGAGTATGTTTCATTATAGATTATTATAAAAGAATTTGATTTTTAAAATATTTCCTTTTAGAAATTGAGAACTACGTACAAAACACAAGTTTCCAATAACAATTCATTTATAGAACTGAAAATGAATTTTTGATGTAAGAAAATATACCAGGACATTTGTATTTATTTATTTTTTTTAAGATTTTATTTGTCAGAGAAAGAGTGAGAGAGAGAGAGAGACCACAAGAGTGTGATAAGCTGGGGAAGTAGCAGGCATAGGGAAAAGTAGGCTGGCTCCCTGCTGAGCAAGGAGCTGGATATGGGACTCAGTCCTAGCTAGGATCCTGGAATCATGATCTGAGCCCAAGGCAGATGCTTAAACCGACTGAGCCAATCAGATGCCGCTCAGATTTGTGTTTAATTGGTTATTTACTATGGGTCAAATTGCTAAACTTTAATTTGAGAACCCATAAAAAAACAGCTCCACTTTGAATTACTTGATTTTAGAAGTTGGTGATGAAACTGTTTTTAAGGAGCTCTTTTTCTTTTCTTCATTTCAGTGTAATTAGATTAAAAGCTGAAATTGGCTTTTTAAAGCAAGCTCTTTTTAACCTTGCAAAAAAAGCTTATTTGTGTGTGTATATGTCTTAAAAGTTCAGGCTTTTAATACTTAATTCATTAATACAAAAAGAATATTTGGCAATTTGTATTTTTTCCCCTCTAGGGAAGGTGTTGATTTGAAATGGAAATAAAATTATAGTATCACAGTCATTAATATTGCTGAATCAGATTCTAAAGACTAGTATTTCCATGGAGAAATTCCATTTTTATTTGATGTAGCAGATTTACTTGGGAGTTGGTAGAATTATCCCGTCATGCAATTCTAAATTATTGGATTAACAACATCATAATTGGTCCTAGCCAATCTGGGTGAGGAAGGTGGGGACTGAGGGGAGGGGCTTTTACCATCTTTCCTTTATACCTAAATGCCTTACTGTTATTCAAAGCAAACTTGATTATTCTTTATGTACTGATCCTTGGTTAGTATTCACCAGTGTTCCTTTTTTAAATATGAATTATCGACATCAGTTTTATGTTCATTTTGGCAATCTTATGTTCATTATTTTCATTTCATTATTACCTTTTTAAAAGACAGTGAGAGCTACAAGCGTACGTGTATTTGAATACAAATATATTTTACGGCAGTGCAGATCACTGACCCTCTGACAATTTTCTTTTATAAATGAGAACATAATACAGTGAATACTTCCAATTATTTTAGCAAAGCACACATTCAGTAGGCTGTGTGTACAAGGTAAATATAAAGCGTATCATGTGATGTAGAGTGTAGGAAAATGGGACCTAGGAAACCCAATTTGTGAATCTAGGGAGTTACAGAATATTACTGAACATCTAAGTAATACTTACTGAAAAAATAGGTTAGTGACATTAGAAATTCTCCGTTGGCTAACATTATGTTTTTATTAGGCAAATACCACAAATGACTTAAAAATTTATTTTCCTATTTTTCAGCAAGTATTTGTGGAGCTATCTGCCGGGCATAGTGTTGAGAGTTGGAATTTATAATGACAAAACATATTTAATTCAGTTTTGGAGTTAAGAACACTTACCCATCTCATTTTTTTTTTTTTTCCTTTAGGAATTGCATTTTGTGAAAAAGGAGCAAAGAAGAATTTTCTGCGAGGATCATATGAAGTGCACTTTCTTGCTGATATATCATTTCTAGTAAGATATTTTTCATTATGTTATGAAGTAAATAAACACAATGGAAATTATTTCCTTTCTTAAAATCAGACGGTCTTGTGAGCTTGAATAGTAGTCTTTTTGGAGTTCATTTTGTGGCTTAATGTAGATTAATTAAGGGAATTTATAATGTCCATTTGAAGTGCATTCTGTTGTACACTGATGGTTTCTCATATATTTTATCCGATACCACTAAGATAACCCTAACTTTTTCATCATTCTCACTTCATCTTCCATATCATTTAAAAAAAAGATTTTAAAAAAGAAAAAAACCCTTAAGTCTATATTTTCTGTAACAATAAAGAAAGTGTGGATTTGAGGACATGAGTTAGATATAAGCTGAGAAAGATGTTCAAATGAAAGATTAAGTGTACAAATATTTCTTGAAATATCTCAGGAAGGGTCAAAGAAAAAAGTTAAGCAGAGTTAAGGGATATTTTAAAAATGTAGACTTAATATTTGTAACTTGAATTTGCCTCCTTAAATCATAGGTGCATATTTGCAAAGCTTCTGAGTAGGGTATTTGACTTAAAAACTTACAGTGGTCTAGGCTCATGGTTCCAGATTGTAAGATGTATAGTGCTCTTCAAAAGTTTTCATGGGGGCGCCCGGGAGGCTCAGTGGGCTAAAGCCTCTGCCTTTGGCTCAGGTCATGATCTCAGGGTCCTGGGATCGAGCCCCACCACATGGGGCTCTCTGCTCAGCAGGGAGCCCGCTTCCCCCTCTCTCTCTGCCTGCCTCTCTGCCTACTTGTGATGTCTGTCAAAAAAAAAAAAAGTTTTCGTGACTGAAACTTTATCTGAATTCCTCCTTTATTCAAAATGGAAAAGAAGTTAATTACATTAATACCAGAACATTTGAAATAATAAAATTTTGAAAAATGTTAGTAGGGGATAGTTTTTGATGTGTTTTAACATTAACATTTTAAATAAATATTAGACCTCATTGATTGTGCCTGATGATTATCTCAGTAAGAAAAGGGAGTGGTACTTGACATTTATTTTTTGTACTTGTTTTAAGAACAGTTTTATTTAACATAAAGTGTAAAATTTTGGGGGTATTAAGTGGTATTAAAAACTTACGACTTATAAAATGAATTCTTTGTTAAAGTACTTTATTGTGATACCAGTTTCTTTTTAAAAATTTTTTATTTTTAAATTTTTATTTCATTTTTTTGAGAGAGAGAGAGGTGGGGAGAGGTAGAGAGAGAGGGAGGGAGGGGAGGGGGGAGGCCAGAGGTAGAGGGAGAGAGAGAATCTTAAGTAGGCTCCATGCCCAGTGCAGAGCCCAATGTGGGGCACTATCTCACAACCCTGAGATCTTGATCTGAGCTGAATAAGAGTCGGACGCTTAACAGACTGAGCCAGTCAGGCACCCCATGATACCAGTTTCTTATGTTTATATATTTTTCTTTAAAAACTTTGACAGAGGAAGTGTCCATTTTATGATATCTTTCAGCTTGGGGAAGTAGGAGAAAAGGCATAATTTTTTCAATTGAAGCAAAGTATACTTCACGCCAGAACTTGTATGCACACTGGCAGGATGGGAAAAATAGAGTCTAATTCCCATTTTTATTTTTTATTTTTTAATTTTTTAAATATTTTATTTATTTGACAGGCAGAGATCACAAGTAGGCAGAGAGGCAGGCAGAGAGAGAGAGGGGTAAGCGGGCTCCCCGTTGAACAGAAAGCCTTATGCGGGGCTCTGTCCCAAGATCCCATCATGACCTGGGCCAAAGGCAGAGGTTTTAACCCACTGAGCCACCCAGGTGCCCCTCTAATTCCCATTTTTAAATATAAACCTTGATTAGTGTTGTGTAAATCTTTGAATATTTGTTTTTTCTTTTTATCTTATTTACATTTCTTTTGTCCACTAACTGTTTGAAACTAAGTGATTTGAGTTCTAAAAGCACTATAGGAATTTTAGCCATCTTGATGCCCATAGTTCAGAACTCTGTACCTTCTGTGAACCTCAGGGATGGCTGTGGGCACAACTTCAGCTGTTATATTTTGGGACCTGTTTAAACTTAATGAAATCCTTTATGATGCTTCTTCCACTAGGCTCTACATGTATGGATGTATACAGTCTTATTCTTCATTGCAGGCTTCTATGGCTCTGAGAGTTGTACTTGAGTTAATAAGTACTTGCTTAGGAGTTACTCTGAGTACTTAGAGTAATGCTTCCCTTTTGAATAGATTCATGTGCTGACTAAAGAGGTTCAGATTAGTTTTCCCTATAATTCTGTCCTAATTTGGGGTAGAGTAGAAATTGGGGAGGCTGGTACAGAGATTGGGCAAATTTTTTTCTACCTTTTTTCCTCTCCCTTGTGTCTTGGAACTGCATTGGGCTCTTATGTTTTAGGTCTGTGATCCACTTTTGAGTTAATTCTTGTTATGGTATGAGGTAAGGGATAAGATTTATTTCTTTGCATATAAAAATCAAATTTTTCCAGAAGCAATTTTGAAAAGATTGTATTTTTTCCTGTTGAATTACCTTGGTAACTTTGTTGAAAGTCAACTGACCATTTTATGTGGGTCTTTTTTTTTAGGACTTTTTCATTTTATTGATCTGTATATCTATTTATGCCAATATTGTACTGTTTTGATTACTGTAGCTTTGTAGTAAGTCTTAAAATCAGGTAGTGTACATCCTCTACCCTTGTTTTTCTATTTCCCAAAGTTGTTTTTGTACTCTGCATCCTTTCTTTCCGTGTATTTTAGGATCAGCTTGTCAGTTTTTACAAAGAGGTCAATGAGATTTCAGTTGTGAATGTTTTTATCCTAGAGGCTACACTGGGGAGAATTGACCTGCGAAGAATGTTGAATCTTCTTGGTACCTCTCTCTGTTTAAGTTGTCTTTAGTTTTTCTTAGAGTTCTGTTTTCAACGTAAGCATATTACACCTATTTTGTTATGTTGATCTCTCTTTTAAATTTTTATGTTATGTTAAGTGGTAATGTAAAGAAAATCAGTTTTCAGTTGTTTGTATGTGGACTTATAATTAATTATTAGACTTTGTAATTTGTGATTCTGCCAAGCTCATTATTAGTTATAGTAACATTTTTTAAAAAGATTTGTTTATTTATTTTAGAGAGAGAGTGAGACAGAAAAAGGGCACGAGTGGGAGGGGCAGGGGGAAAGGGGGAGAGACACGGGGCTCCATCTCATCCTGAGATCACGACCTGAGCCAAAACCAAGAATTGGATGCTTAACCAACTGCACCATCCAGGCTCCCTGTTCTAGTGGTATTTTTTTATAGTCCTTCAGATGTTCTGTGTAGACTATCGTCTTGTCTGTGAATAAAGACTCCCTTAAATTTTTTATCCTTTTATTTTTTTGCTTGCTTTATTGCACTGCCTAGTAGTCCTAGTGCAATGTGGAAGTGGTAAGCTGACATTCTTGCCTTGCTCCTGATGTTCGGTCAAGTACATTCAGTTTTTCACCACTAAGTATGATGTTAACTACAGATTTTTAACAGATACCCTTTGTGAGATTAAGTTCTCTTTTATTCATAGCTTGTTGAGAATTTTTTTCTTGTGAATGAGTATTGAATTTTTATCAGTTTTTCCACACTATTGAGATGATCATGGTTTTTTTTTTCTCTCTCTCTTACCTGTTAATGTAGTTAATTACATTTTTTTTTTTTTGAATATCAAACTAAGAAGTCTTGCATTTCTGAGATAATCTCCACTTGGTCTTGACTTGTTACTGTTTATATATTGCTGGATTAATCTGCTAAAATTTAGTTAACTTTTTTTCATCTGTGCTCATAGTAGATACTGGTTTGTAGTGTTTTCTTTTTTGTAATGTTTTGTCTGCATCTTGTATTTGGATAAGAGTGAGTTGAAAAGATGTCCTCTTCTGGAAAAGTTGCCATGCATTTGGTATTATTGCTTCTTTAATTGTTTGGTAGAATTCACTAATGAAGACCTCTGGTTTTGGAGTTTCTTTGTGGGAAGGTTTTACTTATTTATTTATTTTTAAAGATTTTATTTATTTGACATAGAGAGGGAGAAAGAATGAGTGGGGGGGAGTGGCAGGTAGAGGGGAAAGCAGGCTTCCATCTGAGCAATGCACCTGATATGGGACTTGATCCCAGAACCCTGGGATCATTACCTGAGCCAAAGGACTGAGCCACCCAGGCATCCCTTTTAGAAGGTTTTAAACTATGAACTCAATTTCTTTGATTTGGGCTATTCAGATTATAGTAATTCTTGAACAAGCTTCAGTTGTTTGTGTCTTTCAAGTGAATTTGTCCATTTCAGGTGAATTGCCTTATTTATTAGCATAAGGTTGCATATTGTAATTCCTTATTACTCTTTTTAATGTTTGAAGGATTTATAGTGATATCCACTCCTTTGTTCTGGTATTAGAGATTTTCCTTCTTTTTCTAAAGGAGCAGTTATTAGCTAAAATTTTCCCTTTTCTGCATTTTACAAAGTTTGTTTGGTGTTCATTTACATAGAGTTCAAAGAATTCTTAAATTCCTTTGTGATTTTTTTTGGATCTACTTAATTGTCAAATATTTGGTTAATTTTTTAGATATGTTTCTCTCCAGATTTTATGTATTTGACAGAGAGAGTGAGAGTGTACACAGGCAGGGGGAGAGGGAGAAGTAGGCTTTCCACAGAGCAGAGAGCCTGTCCTGGGGCTTGATCCCAGGATCCTGGGATCTTGACTTGAGCCAAAGGCAGATAGATGCTTGACCAACTGAACCACCCAGGCGCCATTTCTTTGTTTTTAATTTAATTATGTTGTGGTCCAAGAACATATTTTAAGTATTATAAAGTACAGAATGTTTTCTGTGTTAGTGAATGTTTTGTGTGTATTTAAGAAGAATGTGTATTGTGCTCTTGCAGAGTAGAACTTTCTAAAAATGTTAATTGGATCAAATTGGGTTGATAGTTTTTTTCAAAATTTATCCCTCTGATTTTCTTTCAGTAATTGCTGAGAGAGGAGTAAGAAATCTTCAGCTTTAATTGTG